AGTAAGTATTTTATTTTAAACAATTAGGGAATGTATCTGTACCAAAAGCCGACGCATATAATGTTCCCAAGTAAGTTTCCGAAGCGTGCGAAGCAAGCCAATTAGGTTCAGCACGTTTTCAAATTATATTAAGAGGGGATATATAATTGATTATTTTTAAAATATTAATTGTTTCCCGTAAAAATCGCATTTATTATATCTAAAATATTCTTTGTCTGAAGTACGCATGCCAATATATTGGTTTTTTGGCGTGGGCTCAATTTATTCTTCAATTTTTTGTATGAAATTATCGTAACTCCAACAAAATAATATGAACGAATATTAGGATATAATGTGAATGTCTCGATTTTCTTTTCATAGAAAATGCGTTGGTCAATTTTTTATTTGTATAATCAGTGGGTCTCGATTTCACGACATTTTAAATAATTTTTGTGGAAAATGCACTATTCAGTTTTTTTTAGTATGATAAATAGTGACTCGATTTGTTGGTATAAAAAATTTGAACAGTAATATAACCAATTATTTTAGAATAAATGCATATCTCAATTTTTTTTATTTTTTCTTAAGCTTTGGATTCGATATTCGTGGTATGAGAAATATGAATAATAATATGACCGATATATTTTGGTATAAATCTTTGGAGTGGAAGTCAAAATTCTAATGAGATCTCATACAAAATTGCATTGTATACCGTAATAATCATTCTCTAACAAAAAAACTTTCACAATCTCCATAGAAACAACCAAAAAGTACGCAAGATCTACATAAAAAATAAAATAAAATCGATATTGTCAATCGGATTCAATATACCTGATATAATCAAATTATTAATTGATTACTAAATAACCAAAGTATAATTGCTAAAAAATCTCAAAATTAAATATTACATAACCACATTGCAAATCACAAATTGATTAATTTGCAATATATAATAAACAAATATGAAAAAATAATAATAGCATCAGATTAACCAAAAAAACGTGTGAAATACATAGAGTAAATCTTTGTCATTACAAAATAGAATACGTATTATTTGCACACGTTGAAAAATTGGCATGAATCATATAATATAATTGTTAAAATATTTTCATATCAAATATTTATGGAATTGATCTAAAATTTATTTTGTTATTTTTCCTCTATAAATTCAGTAGATTGTCTATTAATCTTGCTTTTGATTTAATATTTTGTTACACAATAATATGATTTATACTGATTTAATTCAATTCAACATGAAGTGTGTATTCACCTTGGTCAAAGATGTCATTAGAATTAAGAAGCTACACATGAATCTACGTACAATTCGAATAATTTAACACAAATTTGAGGTTGAATACAGGAATTACTTGAAAATCCTAGGACTTCCGACAGATCCTCTTGGTTATTTCAAAAAGAGTCGTCAGGATATTATGAATCCTATAATTAATTCTTTCGACTTATGAACTGGTTATACTATGTTGAGGCTTACAAAATATATGCGCCTTCAGAGCATTAGTGATTCGGATGAACGCGAGAAGCTGACTGCTTTTGCTAATTGGATAGTGAGCAAAGTAAACAAGGTGAGCCAATATACATCTTGCTCTTTGGATACACATTGGAAGGTTGTAAAAAGAATCTTGAGGTACATGGTTGTTAGTGTTATATACTAAAAGTTTGGCTTTGGATGATATTACAGTTTTGCCCTTTATGAATGAGAATAATGTCAGGTTAAATAAGTTATATGTTATGTTGTTTTGTACTCAGATAAAATGGGTCATCATCGGGTGAACAGAAGATCATTTTATCAGTTACTTGCGAAACAAAAATTGTGGTTCACAAGCTAGATGAAAACGAACACCTAATCAGAATGGTCATAGTGTCAACGGTACAATTGGTCTTGACTGATTAGTTGCACTAGTACATTTATGTATTGAGCAAGATCCCAGAGAGGAGAAGTTCGTTTTATACTAATCGTCGTAAACGAACTAGGTCTCGGTTAATTACTGCGTTTTTTTAACCTGTAAGATATTAAACAGGCATATACATGTAGTATATATTACTTTGATTCACTTGGGTGAGGTTCAGTTCGTTGGACTAAGAGTCTTACTGTCTTGGGTAATATTGTTGTATGTATGATATGTTGTTAGGATATTTACGGCCACCATGTACGTTAGTTTGTGATGTCCCCGAAGTGAGTTCATGAAAGATTGTTATGTTAAACCCTGCAGGTGGATTAAATTCGGGCATAATAATAACGTGATGAACGAGCGCTAGTTTTGGTAATAAAATATATTAATTAATTCTTGATTGTCAGTAATCGAATTAATTAATGGATATTATATCTTAAACATGGGGAGGTAATTCGGGTAATTATTATTGAAGTTTCAAATGTAATTTGAATAGAAAAAGTGAATGCAATAATATTACGTTAGTGGATCGTTCATGACCCACAGTTAGTCCATTATTTAAGAAGTCCTATTTGAATAAAGAACTAATCAGGAATGAGAGAGAACTGCTTAGGTCGAAAGTCCCTATTCTCCTAAGGATACCTACTGTAGTTCTATATATACATCATTAAGCTCATGGAATAGATATAGAAGAGAACATAAAAGCAGAAACGTGAAAATCACGCCGGCTCGTCTCCCTCTCTCTCTAGAATTTCATTTGAGTTTTATCTTCTGTTTATTGTTACACCGGTACAAGTTGAAGAGGTGTTTGAGTAACATGGTAGAAAATCCCGAGGTAATCAAGACATATATCCATCAACCCCGGAGATCCACAGCCGCCGACCGCCATGAGCCTGACGACCGTCGTCGCGAGCCACACGACAGCCGACAGACGACCGCCGTGACCACACGACCCGATCGCGACGATGCCGACAAGCTTCACGCAGCCACACGACCGCCGTCCTCCGCCACCCCTGTAATCCTGACATCTCGTGACGTGCTGTTCCCGGTCATCCCGAATCTGACTGATTCAGAAATTTTAAGCCATAATTTTCTACGTCAAACCTTTAGATCCATTGCGCATAGATTTACGTTTGTTATTGAATTCGTGATTTGTACATAATGAGATCCTCATAGATCCAAACAAGTGGTATAAGAGCACTTGGTTAATTCGTTTTGTACAAAGTTCGAATTTTTACGACTTTATTGACAAGATGTGTTCAAACGCAACCATATATATTGGATATATTCGCATAACTCGGTTTTGCAGAAATTCGTTTAATCCATTATTATGGTCGTATATGTGTTTGATGAATGTTGTTGAATGTGAAGAATGATTTTAACTTTTTTTGTAAAACCTCGGACATGTCGATGAATTTAATGGATGAATGTTTGTAAGAATTATGAGCCCGGGGGTTGACCGGATAAAATTAATTATTTGTTTAAAAAACATGTACATTCATTCGTTGGACCTAGAATCAGATTATGTAATTGTATATTATACTTTTCGTGTTGTGATCGTGCACTGATGACCGGGAGATCACAAGGATCAACGAACCTCGAAGACCCGGTTGGAACCGGGCCTGGGCGACCACCGGCGAACCATCGCAGCTCGCGTGGCAGTTTTTTCCGCTGAGGCCACGGTTGAGCAAGGCGGAGGTGGAGGCGGCAGTCGCGGGCCACGGAGGTCTCGATCAGGAGTTCCGCAACCCGCGCAAAAAAAATTACGGCGGCTTTTTCCACTGGGCCGGCGACCGGCGGCAGCTGGTGGAGGTGGTTTTTCTTGTTGGACACGCAGTACAATATCTATCAGTATTCTACTGCAGTGTGAGTTCCAGTTTGACAGATAAATAAACTTATAAGGTTTCGTTGTTTAAGGAGACTCAATATTAATGGTCATAATAGTGGATTTATTTATTTAAATTTATCATGTCAATTAATTATTTATTTGCTTATGCGTGTTAATTAATTATTGCTTTTGTATTTGATTAATTTAGAATTGCATAAATATTTAAAAATCCTCATTTAAATAATACTACATTTGAGAAGGAATTTTAAATTAAAAATAATTTTAAATTTTTGAGACCTCCATTTCTATTCAGGCCAGTTGGCTCCTCGATTGTAAGACTATGTTTAATTGCCTATCGTTTTAGAAGAAAAAAAAAAGAAAAAAAGAAGAAGAAGATTTGAAGGCATATTGGCTTTTTAAGGAAAATCCAAAGCCAATTTGGATTTAATCTTGGTTCAAATCCCAATCAATCGACAATTTCTTGATTTATACTCTTGGTCGCTGCTTGCAATTATGGTAAGGTTACATCTAAATGTTAACCATAATGAAGCAAAATGTGTATCTGTTTAAAAAAAAAAAATTGCTTTGATGATTTTTTTTCCAAAACTAAAATCACATGTCATGAGTGGGTAGGGCAGCGGGTGATCACTGTCAGTGCTCCTTGTATCCTCCAGAACCAACTGATGCTGTCAGTTAAGGCTGAGAAGGAGGGGGATAATGATCTGGTACTGGACCATAGAACCTGGTACAGTGGTTGTTTGGAAGGACAGTGGCTTGAGAGTGTGAGATGGGCTGCATTGAAGGCCAAACAAGCTGGATGGACTAGATGTCTATGCAGGATGAAGAACAAAACTTTAGTCCTGAAACTTGCCAAAAGGTTGTTGTTTGATCTGTGTTGTAATACTATTGCTGAGGATATTTATGCATTGGCTTCCTCGTTTGATGCTTTTGAGTTTGTATGGTTAGCCTAATTTTGATGTACATTGTTTTGGCTAGTGTGTGTATTTTGGATGTACGGGGGTTGACATGTAACTTCCTATAGATTTAGTGACTAGGGGGTTGCTCCGGTTGTAATATTTTCTGAGATTAATGTTAAGTTGTCGTTGAAAAAAAAATGTTATAGATACATTTGTAAAAGAAATGTAATAAGTACATAATATTATACATAGAAGTGTACATAACACTCACATTGAGTAAAACTTACTAAAAATTAAAAATCAAGTGAACCCCACTTCATGTGAACATTATATACACCTCTATATACATTTATTTATTATGTACTTGTAGCATTTTAAAAAAAAAAAAATCACACGTCATGTGCATGAGAACATCAAAAACATAAATTAGTATAGCGACTCTGATTTTAACAAAAGTAAAACTTTAAATCAGAAAAGTCCAAACAAATTCGAAGGGCATCAGAGGGCTGAGGATCCAAAATCCTAAAATCAGACATTTGATTGACAATGAAGAAAAATTAACGAAGTCACATTCCGAACAATCCCAACAAAAATACAGATATTACGCTTCAAAAACCTTGATACAGTTCCAATTGTCGTATCCAAAATTATGTCTCTCATGAAACTCGAGCTCTAGCTCTTGGCAGCAAGCTTTTCCTTGGCTTTCTGAATCTTCAAGACCTTCTTCACAATCTTCTGTTCTTCCACCAAGAAAGCCCTAATGATCCTTTAAAACCAAGTAATGTGGAATTTTCATAAACTCAACAGAAATAACCAACCAAAGGAAAAAAAAATTATATTCTAAATTAACTGCTAATCATTAAGTGCACTGAGAAAAAAGAGACCAAACCTTTCTCTCACAGCAACACCAGACAACACTCCACCATAAGGACGATTCACAGTCCTCCGATTTCTGGGCAATCTTGATCTCTTATACTCAGCAGGTCTCAAGTGAGGAATCTGAAAAATTCAAATGTAATGAAAAGAAGCGTTTGATTATCAGACAATCAAAAATACAATACCGAAATACAAGGGACAACATGAGAAAAAAAAAAAAACTCTAAAACAGAGAGATTGTTAAACAGAATGCCATTTCATTTGGTTGCCCAAGTATCATACCCCTCACAGGCCTTTATAGTCCACAAGCACCAAAAACGATTTAAATGATAAATTTCATTGAGTAACATTTGACTTCATAATCATCAATATAATAATAAAACAAAAATATAAACAAAGTGTACATCGACCTACTGTACCAAGAATTATGCTCAAACGTACTTCCCGATACCAATAAACGGAACATCAATGAGAACTACCAGTGAATTATGAGTCAATTAGGCAATCACATTCTCCAATCCATTAATCCAGAGCAAAACCACCTTGAAAACATAGAATGTGATAACTAGATTTGACTCATCAAGGTGAAAAATTCCCACAGAATCAACATAATCTTCAGGGCAGGGAAAGAAAAAAGACAAATTTGAAGACAGCAGCTACAGTGCTATTTGCAGAATATACAAATCAATTCCTATTAGACAGTAGAACTTTATAATGCACAACGGAAGGATTTTTCAAGCAACCCTCAATACACCAAGCACAAAACAAATGCAAACACCACATCGCTATTCAAACATTACTTGTCCTAAACAGCAAAATCGTATAAACCAATCCAAGTCTGCAGCACAGTAAACGTTCACATCTTAATTTAGCAACACTAAAGCAAGCACTTTTATGGAATTATCAAAAATAGGCTTTGTACACACCCCTTGGATCCTCTTGCCAGTCACAGGGCACTTGGGGCCACTAGCCCTCTTCTTAGTGGTCTGATACACAAGCTTCCCACCTATATTCCACGCACAACAAACACAAGCAATCAGCTAATACAAACAAGAACATTAAACATAAAAAACCCAGAAGCACATTAAAAGCAGACGAAATGTCAAATCCCAAAAACCCAATGAAAAAAACAATAACCAAATCAAGCTCACCACCTGTATTACACACACAATCAGCTAATAGAAACAAGGACATCAAATGTCAATAACCCAGAGAGCAGACGAAATGCAAAAGCACAATATATCAACTGAAGGAATCACAAGAATGAAATCAAGCTTGCTCCCCAACTACATTCCGCACACAACACACAAACACGATCAGCTAACACCAACAAAAACACTAAATATAAAAATACCCAGAAACACATACAGCAAGAAAAAATGCAAATTACAAAAAGATAAACTAAACAAAACAAGAATCGAATTAAAACAACATTTCAGTTAAAAAAAAATGAAAATAATGCTATTTACCGGGGGTTTTGACAACCCGATGCTGGTTGGATTTCGTGGCATAGCTGTGGCGCTTCCTGTATGTTAGCCTCTGCACCATTTTTTCCTTCTTTTTTCGAAGGTATTCGTTGTTTGGTCTGTGGAGTTTCGAGCTTTTAAGAGGCCAAGAAGAAGAGCAGATGTAACGAGAGAAGGTATATAATTGGTAGTTGTAGCCCTAGATTGGACGGTAGAGATGTAGTTAAACATTATCATCTCAGATCTACGGCTGGGCTTTGTGGGAGATTAATTGGGTTGTGACAAATAGTTTTGGGCTGTCCATTAAGATTATTCGACTGCTTTCAAGAACTAAAGCCCAATACTTCTTATTTGCGCACCACACGAACTTTTGATACTCGAATTCGAACCCAACTATGATAAAAGTTTAAAAATTACATAAAAATCCATATACTCGATCCTTAATCATCCGAGTAGAATTCGTTAACAAAACAAACTTTAAACATACTCAAACTCAACTCGTTCGACAAATAAACCAAGTCATGCCAGAACCTTAATGAGCCAAGCTAAATTGAGCTCATGAGCTCGTGTTGCTTAACATTTCTAGCCATCACACATTCTCAACTTTTTCTAGATTTTTCAAGTATGAAATGATTTGTGTTTTTAAATTTATTTTTTCTTTGAGTAAAATACTGATTGTAAAAAATATTTAGACGAATTTATGTAGCAGTATGTTAATCAAGCACACCAAGCTTGGTTCATTTGCTAAATTCAAAATCAAATTATTACCTTTTTTTTGTTGAACTATGTCTGAAACTCAAAATTCAAATGTCATCTCGTAGGCAAATTGGAAAAGATAATTTTTTTTTTTTTTTTTTTT